TGATGTCTTGGCCGAGGGGTGCCAGCACGGGTCGGGTCAGGTCCCACTGGGGTCAGTTAGCCCCAGTGAGGGTTATTAGCTGTTGTGGTTTTACGGGACCTACCTGTTGTCGGTGTTGGTGGTGCTGGTGGGTGTCTCAGCGTGAGGCAGCAGCAACCCGCACGTGGTGGTCACCTCTCTGTCCTGTAAGAGAGCACAAAAAAAAGGCATCAGCATCCCTGGGCAGGGACCACATCACCCATGCAGCCCGCCCAAAAAAAGCCCACAATACGGCATGGCTGGATTCTTTGGCCAGGGAAAGCCATCCCACCGAGCCCACCTCCCTCCTGCTCCCACGGATACGCTCCTCATCCTCTCCAGCGTAAAGTCAGCTGGCTTCACGTGGTTCGCAAGATGCCGGAGGATTTTGTACCACGGCGGGTTGGGGAGGGACAGCAGGTCTCACCCCGTGGCTCTGCTGCGGAGAGGTGACCCCAGGGAGAGGGATGACACCCCGAACCCCCTGCAGTATGGCTCTCAGCTCCTGTTCGAGGTCATGCAGGCTGCCAGAGGATTTCCTAGAAGAGGTTTGCTGCATACCAATGGAAATGCAGGCAGTGGATATAGCAGAAAAAAAAACAAAACCAAGGTTTTCCAGAAATGGTGGTAACTGGTGGCCTGAGACCCTTCAGCCGTGCTGGTGCCAGGCAGCACTGATCCCACTGATGGGCTGAACAAACTCTCTGAAAGGTCCTAAATGCGTGCGAGGAGCTTGCAATAAGGTTTTTCTCCCCCGAAAACTACTTCTGACAGCACTCGGGTCACTGTAGCCACAGTCCTACCCATCACACACCATCCCCACGCACCAACGTGAACACATCCCATCACACCTTCGCACCTGGGATGCTAAATCCCAGCGCTCGTGATCAGAAGCACGCAGGCAGACCGAGCCGGACACTGGCGAGCAAGCAAGAAAGCCACGGTTATTCCTACTTCTTTTTTTACCTTGTCGCTTATTTTATACGCCGGCTGCCCAATTATTTCCCAGGCCAGCTCTGCCCCGCGGTGCCTTTTTGCAATCGCATGGAAGGAAGCTTGAAAATCAGGACTGCTTCCAAAAGTACTGAGATGCCAAGAAAAGCCACGGCAAGGACAAGTCTCTGGACCGTGGGATCATGGCAGCGGGGCATGGTGCTGGAAGGAGCCACAGGCGGATGGGCTTTGGGCTAATTTTGGCTGTTTGAAGCTATCCTGGAGCATGGCCCCAGCCTTTCTTGGCTTCCCCTGGGATGATTTGGGCACTGGCTTCAGGGACTGCCTGCCCTCATGCATGATGTCTTTCCCAGGCAGTAGTTTGGTACCATTGGGTCAGAGCAGAGGTCACCTCTGCGTCTAAAGCCACCAACCCCATGTTCGCCCCTTGAATTTCATTTAATTTCATATTTCTATCACCAAAGACCTTGGATGGGCAGGAGGGTGGGAAAAGCGATCAGCTCCTGCCTCAAAAGCGGTGGGTGTATCAGCCCAGATTCAGAAAAAAAACACAAGAGGAAGACTGCAGAGCAATTGCTTTGAAGCTAAAGTACTATGGGGATTTATTATTTTTTTTGGCATCGGCTTCAAAATACCCTCAGCCCCAGCCAGGCAGAATTCCTGGGGCAGGTTTTATCCCAGCTTTCTCTCTGGCGTGGCTCCTCATACCTTCCCACACACCCTTCTCGTGCGGATGAGCCTTCCTCCCCCAGCATCCTCCTCCTGCAGGGATGTAGGACGAGGTGCTGCCACGCTTCCCAAAGCATCTCACAGAGATGAAAAAAGCGGAAATCTGTCCAATTTTATCCCAGTCTGGTGGAAAAGTGAATACCTACATATAAAAAAAAAAAATCCCTTTTTCTGACATTTCCGCAAGTAACCCAGGAGCACGCTTCTTTCACTTGTGTGTACCCTGAGAAGGAGCGACCGACATCTCAGCCGGAGTCACAGCCATGCTCAGGGGGAGAAATTCATCCCTGTGGTCCTATGGGGCCAGGTGACGAGGTTTTTAACGGCTGGTGCGACAGCTAAATAAACCCACATTTGACAGCGTTAGCTCCCTCATGTCCTTCATCTCACCCACCTTCATCCCAAAATGCCCCAAACCTGTTGGTTGGCACGTTCAGCGCCTTCCTGCCTGGAAGATCTCCTAGGTGGGAAATAGATTCCCCCAGGACTGCCCTGCTGGCAGTCGCCACTTGCGGTTGTGTAGGACCCTAATCTGGGCTGCGATGCTCAGCATGGTCCTCACTGCCCCAGGGATGCAGGGATGGCTGCATCCCTAACGAGCTGGTACTGAAAACACAGATCCAGAAAGGTATTTATGTTTGAAAATGCAATTAATAAAATAGACGTCCTATTTCTTGAAGATGCAGAAATTAAAAACTCATTTCAACAGGTGCCTTCGCCTACCCAGCTACGAGATTCAACATGCAGCACGGCCCCTCTGAAACACCAAACACTGAGACGGGGCAGTGCCGAAAACGACTCACAGGACACACTCGACAGCTGTTATCAGCCTTTCGGCAACCAGCCCGGCTCCAGAAACCTGCTCCGCGTCCCTCCGCTGCCCATCGCCCTCCCGACGGCCACCCCGTCACCTCGCATTAGCGCCAGGCATCCAGGCGTTCACTGTTTCGGTCTGTCAGACACAGCGGCAGCCGCTAAAAGCAGGTCACCCGATATAAGGTGGGTTATTTAGGACTTCCCTCTCTGTTACCACCAGGGAAGGGGGGACGCAAGTGATCTAAACGACTTTTTGTTTTTCCATTTTCCAAGCGACGCCGTACGGCTGAAGCATTGTCCCTTCCCGGGTACCACTCACCTCTCCAGGAGGGATGCTCGAAGGCTGGGCTCGGGGCTGGTAGCCGCGCAGCTCTCGGGGTGTTGACAGGAGGGCTGAGCAGGCAGTGGCTGGGCATTTCCACCTGGTGACGTCCCACGCAGGTCCCACGCGGTGGCCGGAGACCACCGGACTGAGGCCAACACCGTGTCTCGACCTCTGGGTTTTGTCGCTCCGCAGCGTGGGTCCCCTTGCGCTTTCCTGCCGTCATTTCTGCCATCTAGAGGGGACGTTTCCCCATTGCAAATGCATCCCTCAAAACATAACAAAACCCCACGATTCAGGAAATAAAAAAAAAAAAATCACAGTCCATCACTCGCCACCAAAAGAACCTGGCCGCAGCGATTCGCGCTCTAGGGGTGGGGAGAGCTGGAGGCTGTGAAGTAGGTACACCCCCAGAAAATTTTGGGGGAGCATTTTCCTGGTGCTTTAAACCAAAGCGAGAACGTCGCAACATGAAACTCATGACAACAGAAGGGATTTCAGAGTCTCATCTAGGAAAAATATATTTAAAACAGCTCAAGAGAGGTAAATCAAAATAATCATCAAATCATCCTCCCGAATGCAACTGAAGCATTAAATTGGTGGCCCAAGGTCTGGTTCTGCTTGCTGCTATCCATAACGACAGGGAGGATGGAGCTCAGTAATTTAGGAGGTAACCTGGACCAAGAGGTACTGGAAGTGTGCTGGAGCAGAGCAGCTGGGTAAACTGGAGAGACTGGATACAAAGAGGATGAAACCCAAGAGAGCTGAGTGTAAGGTACAACCACGCCCTCGTAAGACGTGGTTTTGGTGAGAAAATATCACAGCCAGGCCTTGCATGGTCCAGCCATTCATGGTCTGCATGACACTAGCTTGATCTGGGTTTGGTTTTGGGGGAAGATGGCTGGAAGCCACAACCTGTGGGATGGCAGCTCTGCCGGACTCACCATTTCTTGAGGATCAAACGCAAACCACCTGCGTCCTCCAGGACAACAGGCTTTGGGATGAGTGACCCTACCAGCACCTGTGCCGCACAACTGTTTGCAGCAACCATTCCTTCCCTGCAGCCCAAAACCAGGTTAACCACCTGGAGGTACCAGACGCAACTTTGCTCATCTCTCTCCCACGCTTAAACCTCTGGTGAAGGCTGGGGTGCTTTAAGTGTAAGGGGCTCAGTGAGGAACCAACCCCTCCAAGGAGGCTCAGGATACGACCTGCTGGAAGGACCACAGGGCTCAGAAGTTACACGAAAGTATCAAGATTAAGACTGTAGAAAGCTGGGGAAGAGGAGTACAAAGCATCCTCCCAGCCCGTCCAGCAAAGCTCTCCACATCTCAAGCCAGAGACCAGTACGAGGGACAGTGGCTAGATCAAACGAATCCCTCCTAGGAAAAGGGATTTATTGCTGCCCTCAAGCATGTCAACCAAAAAGGCTGCACAGCTTAGGAGGAAATCTTTTTTCCCTCGACTTGTAGGTCTCAAAGCCTCTAAAAATTTACCTGCACCTAAACTCAAGCGGAACAAGTACAGGTGAATTACAAGATTGCTGCCGACATGGCAGAGTAGAAGCTCACAGTACTTTTCCCGCAGAAAAAAGGCAGCGGATAGATCATATCCTGCAAGCATTCCCTTCTCCTCTCAGCTTATTAAACAAACCCATCTGTTCACAAAGACTGTGGTTAGAGCAGCCGAGCCGTGCTGATGTGCTGCTCTGCCACAGCGACACAATACAACACCGCAGAGGCTGAGGGTGGCAGGCACAGATGATCAGAAATGCCTGGAGGAGCTGCAGCCAGACCTGCAAAACAAAGCAGGAACCAGAGGGAGCGAGAGGATGCCAACACTTGTGACATCAGGTGCCAGTAAAGATGGGCGCCCCTCCGTCCGCAGGTGGAAACGGGGGTCACATCAATCTAAGTAGCTCCCCTTTTATCGAGTGGCATTAGCTGGCATAACATGTACCTCCACAAATATCGCAGTGGGATCCTAAGCCGCATGTCAGGGCTGCAGCTGCCCAGACAGCTCCTCTACAGCCTCGCAGAGCAGCTCTGCCCTTCGGCAGTGGATGCCGTGCAATCGCTTCCAAAGCATCCGCCTGAGGTACAAACCTGGGAGAGCATACGCCGAGCGTGGGGTGAACAGAAACACAAGTGTGACTGGGTTTTGTTTTCTTTCCTTTTAATAGAAACATCCTAGAGTAACTTGGGAGGAGGATCAGCCTAAAGGGAATGTCTCTCGGAATAAAATGGCATGATGTGCTTCAGGAATGATGTGCAAAGTTAAAACGTCCAAGCAGGCTCAGCTCAGGACTTCCTGGATTCTTGGGTCTTCTTGATTTCCTGCAAGGAGATCAGGAAAACAACTTGAGCATCTCCCCGTCTTTGGGAACAACTCATAGTTTCACAGTTCTGGAGACCACGAGCAATCATCTCAGACCAGCTCCGCAGCATCACAGGACCAAGCCCAGAGTTTACATGCATGAGCCTTTAGGGACAAGGCAAGGTTTGACTCAGAGGCTCTTCAAAAATAGCACACCCCTTCCATACTGTCCAGGGATGTATGTTTATTTTGCCCTTAACCCAGTATCACGCTGGATCCATTTCCCACTTTTAGGCCACTGATCCATCATCACTCGTACGCAATCTGTGCTCAACTACGTCACTCAGCAGCTCAAACCAGATCAAGCGTGGGCATGAGGTCACATTTCTGTGGCTGCCTGTAGACAGACCCTCACCTGCTCAGCCTAGAGTTCATGCCTGCCCGGGGAGTGAGGCAGAAAAGCCCCAAATAACTCACCTCCAGGAGTAGCTCCTTCAATTCGGAATAGGCTTTTTCTAAATCATCATTAATAATGACCAAGTCGAACAGGCCAGGCTCTTTACCTGGGGAAGGAGACGAGGACAGAGGAGTTAGAGGAGAATGTGTTTCTTCTCTGTGTCATCTCTTGTGCGTGACCAAAGTTCCTGTGGCATTTTAATATTATTATTTCAGCCACTGCTAATGCGCGTCTCTGCCAACTGCCCACAAGGAACTGCAGTGGGAAACGATGCAGTACGCTGCTTATATTAAACTCAGCTCCTGTCCAAGCCCTGCCAGCACGCCTTGGAGAACACAGGTCAGATGTTTATGCAAAAAACAGCTCTAAATCACCAACGCATCCCCTCTCCCTATGCACCACCTGAAGGCCTCTGGACTTACTAAGTTCCAAATCTACACGAGCTGCAGTCAAACGCTTCAGTAAACTTTCTTCTGTCTCAGTCTTTCGGTCACGTAGTCTTTTTTCCTAAACCCAATGACAAACTTATTAGAGAAACACGTGTTCCAAATGCTGCTTGCAGAAACCACCCCCCATCCCACAAACCAGTGCTGTCTGCCATTTATTACTGCTGGCGACCACAGGCATGTGAGGTAACACTCTGCAAAGGGTGAGTGGCCTCACAGCCCAGAGCAAAGCAGTGGCCAAGCTGAGTTTGAGCTCAAGATCTCCCACCCAGAGCTCAGCTTCCCAGTCTCCTCCCCTGCACCCTGTATTTTTCTTTTTTGCAGGTACCGCTGGGAGATGAAATCTCTCTGCTGGGCTCTGGCATGTGGTGCTGTTGGCTCCCTCCTCCACAAACTCAATGAGAAACAGAGACTGCCTGATCTACTGAGAGCAAGAGGGGAGAGCCAGGAGTCGTGGCCTTCACTGCCATGTACTCCTTGCATGGCTTCAGCAAGCCACACATGCATGTCCACATCTCTCTCTGAACCATGAGAGTGATTTCACTTCTGCGAGAAGCACACTGCAACCATTATTACACAGGGCTCCATAAGACCAGAGGAGTGTAGGATTTCTGGTGCTGCAGAGAACCAGCCTCCCTCGGTTTAACTTTAATTGCCAGGGGCAAGTCTCAGGACAAAAATCTCCTTCTCTCCCCAGTGTTAGGCACAACTAATGCATTTAAAGGCTGGCCACGCTGCAATGGAGTCTATAACCCAATGCAGGCAAACATGCCAAGGTGTGGGAACTGTACAGGAGGGACTCAAAAACACAGCACAGGAAGATTTATCCCTGGGAGCCAGAGGCTGGGGAGTTGGACTGGGCAGAGGTAACAGCGTGCTCAGAAATGTCCTCCTCATCTATTCTACAGCCCTTAAAAACATACGGGTGAATCAATGAGGGGGGAACCCCCATCGCTTCAGAACAAGACGCTGATTACCTCTAACTGCCTAACGGCAAAGGAAGGCGGTCGCTCACCAAGATGTCTATGGACGGAGGCTGCACGGAGATGTAGATGGGGTTCAGGTCTGTCCTCTTGATGTTCTTCACGCCCTGGATGTCGATGTCAAGGACACAGATCTGGTTCTGGGCCTGAACAGCCTGCACTGCACCTTTACTGGGGACAGAGCAAAGAGGGGTCAGAGCGTCCAGCCATAGCAGTGGGCGCTCGGTGCGTTCCCCTCCAGCAGCAAGTCTTCACCTCACAGGGCTCCCCTGTGCCTGAATTGTGGCAGGAGAGAAGAGAGAGCCTGCTCTGCTCTTGCTAAACAGTTTCTCTTTCCCCAGGTGTCCTCTGCATCCCTGGGTTGGAGCAGGGACCTGCTGTGTCCTGCTAGAGAGGCTGGCAAAACCACGATGGAAGGTGTGGAAATGGATAATGTGCGACTATCCCATGAGCAGTGTGGCTTGGGTACAGTCTGCCTTCGACAAACACCAAAGAGCAAAAACACTGAGAACTTTCTTTCTCCACAGACCTACTGATTTCTGTACCCATGAGCTCTCTTGAAGGATGCTTGACGGAGATGGATGCTCCTGCCTGGGTCGCAAGATGCCCAGTTAAGAAAATATTTTAAGTGGCCGTTCTCATAGGTCATTAAAAGCAGTACCTCTTCCCCAACACAGGGGAACTGCCTCGAGCTTGTTTCTGAACACCCACAATCCTCCCTTGAAAAGCAGCAACACCAACCCTCTCCTGGTGCAGTGGAGGTACCTGGACTAGTTACTGGGTAGCAGCCCTCGTGGGAGGCTTTTCAGTTGGTATCTGCACAGTGCTGGGCACAGGTTCTCCTTCAAGCCAGGGCTCCGTGGCACGATGGACAGTGGGGAGAGAATCCCTGCCAGGAGCTCAGAGGTGGCACTGCAGGTTTTGAGAGAGTGAAGTCGGGAGATCATGCAGTGGCAGATGAGATTAAGAACAGATCTTAAGGTGGCTGGTGACTTTCCTCCTGACCTGGGGAGGTCACAAATCCCAACAGGAAGAAGAAAGCTGAAGCAAAACTGTGAGACCAGCACTGTGCCCTATACAAATACAGAGGTTTGCTGCCTTGTCTGAGTGGGCAGCAGCAAGAGCCCAGATAGGTGCACCATCCACAGCAAATCCACAAAAACTCCCCAAAATGGCCTGGTTTGCCTTGTGAAAGCCACAGGCTTCATCTGATATCACCAGGTATCAACTAATTCCCGCTACAACTGATCTACAAAGAGCCAGCAGCTCTCAGAGCCCCAGGAAAGAGACCCCATGCCTGCACTCTGACTTCAGCCTCTAATTTAAGGCGACTTCAAGAAATTCTGGTTTCTGTGGGTGGGACTCAGTGCTATCCCACAGACAGGGCCCTTTCAGGGCTCTTAATTTAAGCAATTAATTTTTAGTTATTCATTATTATTAGCTGATGAGAGTTAGGGAACAGAAAGGCTTGGCAAAAACTTCAACCGTTCTGATAAGCATGAGGGACTCTCTCCATTTATCACACATCTGATTAGAAACAATCTTAGGCACTTGTAAACATAGGCTTGGAGAGTTTCTGCATTTGTTTTGTTTGCAAACTGGTCTTTATTGCTTTGGGTTTGGGTTAATTTCATCCTCCCCCCCTGCATGGCCACCACCACAGGCAGAGCACAGGCAGCATGAATATGCAGAGGGGACCAAAGATGAAAGTAAGGGCCAGGGAGAACAGCACCTCAGAAACAAACCCCGGCACATCATTTAATTTGGTTAAAGTATCAAACTCCTGCCAATTTCAAGGAAATTGGCTGAGGAGAGATGTCTTCTCAGCACCCACCCTGAGGAAAAGGCAGCAAAATTAACTCCACCTATGTATCAGGCATCAGAGAGCAGCCGTCTCCTCCACGCTGCGGCCTGCTGGATTAAGCAGGACACACGTGAAGGAAGGAAGCCTGTCCTACACAGGATGAAGCCAGGGATTAAGGAGCCTGAATTCAGTTTCTCCTTGGTGCTGGGTATTTGGAGGATGAGCGGTCAGGTTTTGCTTCTCTTGCCAAACCAGCGACACTGCAAGTATCAAGGCCAGGGCAGGGGACTGTGCTCCTCCATCAGCCTCAGAGGCAGCATGGCCAGACCCCTGCGAGGCTGTCCTTAGCTGTGGTGACAGCAGTGATGCCTATGCCTGTTACATTAAAACAGCTACATTACCGAAATGCATAATTGTCCTCAGAAGGAAACTTTGCCATCTCCAAAAAAATCCTCAAAAAAGCACATTTGGCTCTTTAAGAAATGTAAGTCTTCCTAAAAAGTGTTTCAGGCAAATTTCTTTAATGCAACTAATTAAATATCTCAAAAAACATTTAACTTTCCTCCTTAGCAGGTCCTTTACTGTAGCGTCACAATTTTCTCACAATAATTATATAAGATAACTGACTTCTAATTAACATTGCAGCTTAACGTTTTATTGATCATCAGCTCCAACGCCGAGGGCAACGCTATTTTAAAATCCACCTAACTCTTGAACCCCAGTCAAGGGTGCCACGCAATTTATCTATTCATAAGCAGCCACTTTACCAAAGCAGCACACAAATTTTTTTTCACAACAGCCAATACAGATATCATCGCTTCTGCTCCTGAATTCATCATATTCAGACCATTAGGTAATGCAGGGATAATGAGAGTAAGTCTCCATTCTGCCCACTACTTTCTGCAAGCACTTGGAAAATATTAAGGAGCATAAATAGTCTGTGAAAATCACCCCCGTGCAAGAAAAGCGTTAAGCATATGAACCATTTCAGCAGCCCTCAAATACTGGAGGCTATAGAGAATCTCGTAATGTAATAACTATTTAATTATGATGAGCTAGCTCTCTGCAAGAGTTAGTTTTGCCATCTTAATAAAGCTGACAAGGACCCTGCTATGAAAATTAAAGGCTTTGCTTATGGCAAAAATCTGCGAGTTTGGGAGAAAACAGTGTCGCTAAGTTAAAATATTCTTTTCCTTCACCATCATCTCAGCTCCGGCACCACCTGGGTTCAGTGGCAACAGCATCTGAACTGCATACCTCGTCCCGTACATATTTCCGGAGAACTCTGCGTGCTCAATGAATTCACCAGCATCAATTTCTTTCTGCATTTCCTCTCTGGTCACAAAGTGGTAATCTGGATAGGGAAAACAGGAAAAACAGACAGAAATTAACAGCGTTGAAGGTAAATTCATGGTCAAAATGACACCCATAGGTGCTTAGGGGAGAAGCAACTTAAAACCTGCTTTGGACAACGTTGGCAGACTGCAGATATCGACTTCCTAATTACTGCATACAGCATCCCCTCTCCACATCAGTTGTCCAGACACCTGCTCAGAATGTTCTGGAGCTTTCCGTGTGGCCAGAAATGCTGCTGTACCCCCTTTTTCATACCCTTTCTGGTGCAGTGGCAACCACCTCCCCCTCCCCACAGGCATGGAACACATTACAGCAGGACTGTCAAGGCCCTTAATTTGAAAGCACTGATGATTATAGACTAGAATGAGACGAGAGAGAGGGAGATAAAAGGGAACATCAAAATCAAACTAACTAAAAAGGAATGTTTCTCTATCTTTTGTTAAAATCCCTCCCCTTCACTTCAGAGTGAAAACTGCCATCGGAAATTAAGAACAAACGTTGTATGATTCTTTCTGAAATATGCAAACAAACCAGAAAACAGAAAAGCAGCTGGCCAACTGGACACAAGCTAATAATACAGATAAAGACATCTCATTAAGCAGTTGCATTTTCCAAAGCAGTGTGCATTTGAGGTATCTCACCAGAGCTACCTGGCACTTCAGAAAATCAAGCCACTCCATGCCCAAGTATGGACCAGGGCACTTAAACTGAGAGCCCTGCTTTGAAAACCTCAGCCAGCAAGTCACAGAGACAGTGTCTAGAAAAGAAAACTGGCAGCACATGCTCTGCCTCTGTTAACATTTCACCGCTTAATTAAATTTTGGTTTTGTTCTGCCAAGTCCATCCCTCTTCGTTATCTTCTCTCCAACGCATGGCACATGCTGCTGAACAGTGGTAAACAGCTACAGTCTTATTGCCACGGAGCTAAAGAACAAAAGTGCGTGTATGTATACAGAATTATACACACATATACATACACACTCTCAAATATATAATTAGTGAATACCTGCCTAAGGAAATGCACCCTATAAACACAAAAGTAGGACTAACTTATCTGCTAGTGGAGATTCATGCAAGCACTTCACATAAAAACTTAAAATTTTTCAGAGGAATTATTTGCCGAGTCTGATGAGACAGGCTCAACTGCAACACACTCACCTTTGCCATTTACTTCTCCGGGTCTTGGCTGCCTTGTGGTATCTGTAAGCAAAAAAAAGCCTTGTAAATTTTGTAGATCACTCAAGGAAGTAATAGTATCAAAGAAATAAAAGCACACACGCAGCAGATTAACCCAATCATGTAGTAAGCTGATTCTCTATTTAAAATGATCAAAGCTTCTGCAATCAGCTAGTGTAACGCACAACGACATGCTGGATTGGCCTTTAATCAAAGAATCCTAGATAATCTGAAAACAATCAATTAAAATTGTTAGGGGCTGAGCAGTCAGTGTGGGACTTATCAGGCTGGGCTTAGTTTTCAGCTCTGCTACAGCCTTCCTGTGTAATCCTAGACACATTATTTAGACTTGTGCCTCAGTTCAGGGCAATTAGCGGTGCCCTACTTTGCAGAGCTATCTTCATTTTAAAAGACCATGCAGCACCTACATAGGTGCTTAAAATAGCCAGATTTAATGAATAAGGGCAAACTCCTGCATGAGGTAGGTGAATAAATCGGACAGCCTTTGAACCCTGTTGGAAGTCGTTCAAACCAAAAAGGAGCTGACGGTCATCATGGAGGGCAGCACCAATTATTTTATTTAGGACCAGCAGGAGTTAACCTAATGCAATAAGGCTCTGATCACCTGTAAGTTTTTATAAAGCACCAGTTGCCTAAGTGGCCTATGGAGATTTAGGAAAAAAATATCTACCGGTAAAGAGGCAACCTTGGGGAAAACAGTAAGCTTTAGTTTGGACTGAGATGAGAGATTCAGTTGAATCAAGAGCATAGGATGAAACGCACAAAAGGAAAGATAATTTTAAGTTTTTTTCATCTCTAGTAACATTAAATTTTTAAACATCCAGTATTTGCCCTTTCATGGCAGAACACGTCCAGATCTCACAGACCTCAAAGCAAGGATTTCACTTGCAGTATCCAAAGCGTTAGGACAGTAAAAAACATTTTGGTAACGCACTTAAAAACACTTTGCAGGACTCCAGGGAAAATAAGGCGAATGAGGTGTGGACACAGCCCAGACTCTGAGGGTAACCTTTAAGGTGTCACCCATGAAAAAGGAAACAAAATTAGTGTTGCAACAGGCACACTGCTTGAAGAAAATTCCCTGCACTTACTCTGTTGTGGACGCAGGAGGACTTCAGCACTGCCTGCAGCGTGCAGGCAGGTGCAAGTGGATCGAGCTGGCCGGCCAGGGGTTATTTTCACATTACAGGGAACCATCCCAGGTAGAAAAAAAAACCAGGACCCTTGGCCAGGACTTAGTGACCGACGTAGAAGAAGTCAACAAACCACCAGAGCAACAGCTGGAGGAAGAACGTACGCAGGTGATGGGGCAAAGTGTTTCACTGACTGACCCAGTAATGAGATGGGCTTCACGAAACTCTTTAATTTTAAATCTGAGACCCTGGTGTGCAGCCCCTGGACTGTTAAAATCCCCATCAGCTCCCGCAGGTGGGTGGAAAGAATTAGCTTTTGAAACAGAGGCCTGTGGGGGATTTTGTTACTTTCAGAGTCAAGAAGCACTCAGAAAAATCTCATCACCTCTCTGAGCTGTGTTTAGAGGTGTGGGGAGTCACCAGACCTGGAAAGGGTGCTATTCCAGACAAATCTTAGACTTGCCACCCAATATCAGTAGTAAAAGGCATCCTAACTTATTTAAACATACCAAAGAGCCCACAGACAAAGACACAGGCAAGCCATGGAAGCCCATTATTTGATGCTTGAATACAGCTACAGAGGCAGGTTCTGGGCTAGCGGCCCTGAACTCCTCCACTGCCTTTCCCCAGAGACACAGGGATACTCACGGGAGACACTGAAGCCAAAGATGTTCTCGTAATCTTTAAGCAATTTCTTTAATAAAGTGCTCTTCCCTGCACCCGATGGGCCACTCAGAACCACTGGTCTCGGTCCCTGCATGGCTAGAGACAGAAAAATAAGTGTCCGGTTAGAAACACCCATGAAAAAACACAGCTGTGGATTCCCAGGGGTGCTCAGCCCCACAAAATAGCGTCTATCCTTTACCCTCAGATACAAGTTTCTGCAAGCAAATCTGAAACGATGAAAAATCACAAGCCTAGAGCTGACAGAAAGTAACTGGGAGTGCAGGAAATACCAGGGAAATGCAAACAACTATTAAATTAGCAAATTGGCAGCAAATGGTGGGAGCCACCACCTCTGTACCACTGCAAAAGATCTGAGCTGGGAGCCCTGAGGAGTCGGATATCGTTTTTTGGGAAGCAGAGAGCGGAAGCCACCAGCAACGCAGCAGGACAGCTTCACCTCGCTTTGCTGCTGACCCCAATTCTTACCTGGGGAACAAATACCTCAGACAAATAAAGGACATGTATCACTGCAGCATGAATGCTCGTTCTCAAGGGACTGAGGTTAAACGTATAGGACATCGCCCAAAGGAGGAGGAAACTGGGCTCCAGCTGCCGCTAAACTTGGATAATTCAAGCCAGCTCCGTCCTAGCTCTGTTCTCTGTCACCAGGTTTGGTCCCTCTGGGACCCAAATGCTAGGGAAGACTTTCTCCAACAGGAGAAAAATGCTGTCTGTGCCTGGTGGCACCTGGAAACATCACAGGACATCCACACACACTGGGCAATGCCAGCTTAATACTTGTCCTTACTGATGAAAGTTATAGTCACAGCCACTTCCCTCTCATGGGGAGGGGCCACAAGGAGGGTTTGCAGGAGATGCTGGCAAGAAAATAGGACAGAAATCAGCCAGCGTTACACACGTGCAGCTCTGAGCGAGGGATGGGATGCCCATGAGATCGCCACACCTCTTATGTTGCCCCTTTACATCCTAACAAGTACAAACTACGAGCCTGTGACAGACAGTTAAATGTTTCCTATCAGTCCTGGGATAAATATCCACACGCAAAGCCTTTACCATAAGCAGACAATGTACTGAAGCCCAGACCCAGAAGCCCATTGCATCCTCCACTACTAAACCCCAAAGCCTTGCAATACCAGTCTGAACATGGGTGTGATCTGGAACACAAACATGCTTTGGGGTTTATTTCCATATTTCCTGGAGCACTAACCCCAGCTCAAGGCGTTTTGTGGCAAGAGAGAAGGGTTTGGTTCCTGGTACAGGTGAAAAAAAGCAGCCTGGGGCCACACAGTCCTTTCTGCAGTTGTTTCTTCAGCCAGGAAGAAAAAACTGGGTGTTTTCATGTGCCTGCGTCTCTGGGGAGGAAGAAAGGTTAATTACCAACATGTGAATAAAGAAGAAAATCCTGTGCAACAGTGCAGGGAGTACCGCTGGGGACCCTCATCCATCAACAGCAGTTCAGCAGCTTCTAAAACAGAGGTGATGACGAGAGCAGAACAAATCAAACAAGCCTATTTTTCCTATTTAAAACCAATTACTTTCTGCAAGCAGTAAAGCCCCTGGAAATGCATTTTTTTTTTAACCTCATCAGCTGGGCGTGACCTCAGTCAGGAGCAATCAGCCGACAGACAGTATAATGCCTTTCCATTTTAAATTAAATCATAGCAATGTCACCCTGACCTTACAAATCACTTTTTAAACAGCCTTAAGCCAAATGCCATCTCTTACAAAATCAGCCGCAGATTGTGCGGCAGGCTAATCTAGCAGGGTTGCCTCCCTGACCCTGGCCTGCGTGAGCTGGATACCTCCTTATCCCTAAATCCCTCCTGCACAGCTCTGCGATCACGCAGACATCTACCAGGCAGCACTCCAGCTAGCAAATTATAGTTTTCCCTCCGTTCCCCAAGGATGCTTTGTACTTGTCTGACTAGAGTTTATCTAAGCGTGTATGTAAGGACGGGGCGTTAATACACAAAGTCTAAGTAGATGCCAGCAGCAGCTAACGTGGGTGTAAGAACACCCACGTTCAATCACCATCTAAAAGGAAACTATATTTTTTTTTTTTTTTTGCTGTTGGCATCCTCCAGGTGCCACAGCCCCAGAGGCCCACCAGATCAGACATTCTCCGGGGATCTCAGAGGACGGGTCCCATCACACGTGCATGGAAACATTGCTGGATTAGGCTCCATCATCCAAAAAACACAACTAGGCTGCACAAGCTCTAGGAAGCCCTTCTAGGGACCTGTCCTGTCTTTCCCTTAGCCCTCGAGATTTGATAATTTCCAAATGTCACAGGTTTTGCCTAAATGTTCAATACCAAAAGAGGAAAGCACACCCTCCTATACCTCCTCACCAGTGAAATGCTATTCAGTGCTTGCAGCACGGAAGCCTCCGAGTTGCTTGCTGAGTTGTCTCAAGCATCTCTCCCTCTCTTCTGCCCCTGCCAGTTCCTCTCGCCCCCATAAATAAAACAGGTGAGCCCTGACCATTGCTTGCAAAACACTCCAGAAGAGAAAGAGGAGCTACACAAAGTTCATCCAGCACACTTCACAACATGCCTGCTCCTGAACGATGCTCCTTCATCACACGCCAGCTTCCTCAGCCACCGCCGAAAGCCCCTGCAAGTGACATTCAGATGCCAGCACAGATTCAGTCCAGGCGTTTCACAGCTTTTCCTCTGCCGTGATCTGGCTGTGCCAACAAGAACTGCTCTGGATGCACAAGTCCCAGCCCCAGCCTGCAGAGCCCAGCCAGGAGGCTCACATCCCAGCTAGAGGGAGAAGAGCCTTCCTCTCTCCCTCTGCAAAATTTTATCTGCCCTTTAGCAGGCACTGGTAGGAAAAGGGGAATCTAAAGCTGCCTAAATAATTTACAAACATTTCATTCAACCCCAGACAAACTGGGAAGCGGTAAGAAGAATGGGCAGAGCACTGGCTAGCAGCAGGCTCCAACGCATCCTTACCTTTTGCTTTTACTCCCTTTCAGCCAAGGTATAAAGTCCAGCTCCTTGCAGCGGCAACAGGCTCACAATACGAGTGAGCCGGCAGAAAGCTGGGCTATTTGTGAGCTGCCTAAAGCCTTAATTACCGAGCTGCAATTTTAAGATGGCCAATGAAAACTGCTTGCTGGTCTTTAATCTCCTCTTGTGGTTTCTCCTCTGCTCTCTGCTCTCTTGGCTAGTAAAGCTGCAGTCAACCACCACTAATGGGCTGACAGGTGCCAGCACGTGCCGGCCTGGCGTTTCGGCAAACAGCAGAACCATCCCCGTCCCTACACCTAACCTCACAGATCACACATCCCCCGCAGTCACCAACGCAAACGCACACAGGGAAGAGCTGCTATTTGTGGGTCAGAGGGAGGTTTGGTACCTCCGGGGTGAGACCACCGGCTCATTCGGGTTGGAGAGGGCCTTAGGAGATCTCCAGCCCACCCTCCTTCTCAAACGTAGCACGTCTTTAGCTGGTGATCAAGCAGTGGTGCCCACAGACACCAAGATCAGATAGGCTCTTAGATAGCACCGATGCACATCGGGCAAAAAAAAACAGGCCATAAAGCTGCTACGCTCACATTACACACCCAACAGTTGCGTGGTTGAGGCAACTCTTTTAGAAAATCACTCAGTCTTGGATTTAGCCAGGATTTCACCTTCCGCAGACAATGCTCCTCTTCTGAAGTCTGCATGGCTGTTGCCTCCAGCCGCTGCTTCGCCTCAGGTCAACAATTAGGCTACTTATCCACCATGAAGGCAACTGAGAAACTCCTTCTCCTGCCCACGCAGATCCGAACCCAGGCCTCCAAACTGCACGTCCCAGCACCTCCATGGTGGGACCCTACAGGGTCTGCGCTGCCCTGGTGCTGGTGGTGCTTTTCTGCCCAAAAGAGCACTGGTGGGGCATCAGGGGAAGATGGAGATGCTCTCCTTTACCTTATTCCCTTTCTTCCCCCAAATACTCAGAACTAAAGTGAGAAAAGACACACGGGTTGCGATCACAGGTCTCACTTCTTTGAGAAACGGGCTAAAAATAAACCAAGAGACTTGGAGGTGCTTACTCTTGCCTCCCTCCAAATGTATCCCTTCTCTTTTGCTGGAGATCTGCAGAGGAAAACAAGACGTAATTTAAAGGGGATAAAAAAAAAAGCCATTTCCACTGCCAGATGAAGGGGCTAGGCCCTCGTGGGCGGCAGACAGCAAACACCCAGCTGGCAAACTGGGAATCCGTGCCAGCGCAGAGCAAAACCAGCTCCCACGGAGCACTTTCAGAAGGCGCTCACCACCCAGCACAGTGCGGAATTTTGGGGGCAGCTGCTCGGGGCCGGAGAGGTAAAGGACGAAGATATGCTGGGAGGGTGAATGGAGGAGATGATCTCTGCCTTGAGACGTGAGCAGCGCAGATGTGGGAGAGGATGCGCTCACCTCCACCATCAGATTTGGTTAAACACACGCCCTGACCCCAAAAAATCACTTGTAACGACGCTTCTCCGCTCCCCCAGCCCCGTCAAACACAGTTCCTCTCCCTCTGGCAACCTGAAGCCCTCAAAAACCATAAGTAAAACACCAAAAAAGCCTGAAAAACCCGATCTGGTGGATATAGGGCTTTTTAAATCTCGTTTCATTCCCAGCCCAGTAAGGCATCTGCCTGTCACATTTTCAAGCTGTTTGCAGCAATAACATTACAGGTACATATTTATTTTGAGCAGAAGTTCAATTTTTTTCCCCCTTTGCTCAGATTTTGGCATTTTCAGAGCAGCCAATCTGCAAATATCTAGCACAGAGGGTCTCTCGCCTCCAACGGGTTACTCTTAAAACAGTTCTGGATCCGGCCTAACCACCACGTATCACCAAAACCACAGCGGGCTGGAGTCAACCAGCAACAGAGCAGCACAGCTATTTAATAAAGATCCTCACGTTTGGGGAGGTGCCACACCTGAGACTGAGGACAAACGGCCACGTAGACCCCTCTGGGCTGCAAAAAGACAAGGTGGTCCCCGAAGGAGGACGCAAGAATTTGTCACTAGGGCGAGGAACGTTTCAGTCTGCTCCTGCCTGCTAAACTCACCCTGGATTTTAACTGGGAGGCAGCAGCACGACCAGTAAAGCAAAGGACAGACATCACAAGAGTTAAACAAAATTAATGCTGATTAGCAGAGAGGCTTTAAAGAGAAGGTAGAGCCCCCTTACAAAGTAGAAAAGAAGATTAAAGGACAGTTTCCCTGGAGCCCCAGGAAAGGTCTCCTGGATTAGGATTATAATCCCATTCTCTATTTTTAGCAGGTTCGTTATAAAGCTGCAACTCCCACCTTTCTAAGTTTTGGGATGTCTTCTGAAAACCCCAGCCAGCCACAGTAACACAACAAAGTTTAACATCATCTCAGAGCAGGCAGACACTCGGCATCTCGATGTGTGCGAGGAGCCCTAAGGACAGGACATCCCCTCGGCTGCTCCAACGGCCACAGCCCTAGACCCACGCTTGTTCAGTCGGGGAACGGGAGGGTGAAAGCTCCGGGGCTTCACGTGCAGTTTCTCAGCATGCAGAGACCGTGCAGGACAGCCGGGCTCAGAGGTTCTGCCCCAAGAACCAGCGGGTTGCTTAAATAAAAATAATTACTTGCAGTACTGAAACAGGAGCAGAACATCCCCACTGCCGTACCCAGAGCTGGTGGGAACCCTCTGCCGCCTTTTTCCTGGAAACAATTATCTAAAAAGCACTAATTAGCCCCTCCACCGGCTGCACTGATTCGCACTCCTCGCGTTGCAGGGCGCAATGGTGCAGCAGGAGGAACAAGAACCACTGTCTCAAGATTACTGTGGAAACCAGCTAGGTCCAGGCCACAGACGAGGCCAGGACTCACTCCAACACCGCGTCCTGCTGCAAAACCGGACCAGTTTAACCAACCAACTGGTTCGGGCCAGTTTACCCGGCTGGGTAAATGCCAGCAGAGGCGAAGCTCAGCCAGGTGCGGTTTTGCCATCCGCTTCCCCTCACGAACGTTGCGTTTCACCACACAGCTCCCGCCCTCAGGCCGGTACCTCACAGCCCCGGGGGCCGGTTGGGCCCCCTCAGCCGAGGAACCTTGTGAGGAGGATGGACAGCCCGGAGGACGCCGCCAGGGCCCGGGATGGACCTCAAAACCTCCCGTTCTGTCCCGTTCCGTCCCGCTCACCCGCCGCCCGGGCGATGGCACCGCGCAGCCGCCGCCAGCTCATGGCGGGAGGGGAGAAGCGGGGAGGGAGGAGAACGACGGGAAATGGCGGATCGCTCCCAGCAGCCCCCGCGCCTCCGCCGCCCCCACGTGCCCGACGTCAGGAGGGGCGGGGTTTGGGGGTGGGGGAAGAGGAGCGCTGCGCGCCGGAGGGAGCGGTCACGTGAGC